CCCCCCCCCCATCCCCTGGTCGCACACGGAATCAGGCTCGCCGGCGGACACCCTGCCGGCCTTTGTGAATGTGCTGTCTGGGGAAAACCGCCTGGGTGACACGCTGCTGCACGCGCTCTTCCGCGGCCCGGCCCCGGTGTCGGCCCTGCCCTTTGTGCCGGCCGGGGCCGGGCGCTTTGTCAACCTCTTCCCTGCCACCCCGGGCACAAGTGCCACCTCCAGTCCCACTTCCACCGAGGCCGGCGGTCTGCCAGTGCGATCGGGGTCCGACGGTGCCCGCGTCCAGGCCCCCCGGCCCGGGGTCGACGGCCAGTGGAACTTCCAGGCCGAGCCGCCCGGCAGCCGACCCGGGGTCCCGGCTCCGGCCCCAGGCTCGGACGCGGCCATCCTCGCGGCCATGGACGATCCGGTGCTGGTGGACGCAATGCTGGCACATGCGTCAGCGACCTTTGTCCTGACGGACCACACGGCTCCGGCCGTGGCCCCCGGCCGGGGGTCCGAGGTCCCGTGGCTGGGCGGCCTCACGGCCGCCGTGCGGTGGCCCTCCGCGGCGGACATCGCGACGGCAGCCGCCGCCGCCGCCGCCGCCGCCACTGCCGCCACCGCCGCACCCGGTGGCAGCCATGACAATGCCAGCCAGTCCGGCGCCGGGCCATTGGTCTCGGCGGCCGGGGTGCTTGGGCAACTGCTGGCCCGGCTGGGCCAGGCGCCGGAGGCGCTGGCCGCCCGGGCCCTGACCTTCCCCAGCCGCAGTAGCCCCGCCCGGATGACAGTCACCTGCCTGCTGCTGAGCGAGGCCAATCGCTTCCGCGGGGAGCTGGCCGTTGCACTATTCCGTCGCGCCGGCTGGGAGCCCCGGGCTCCGGTGTTCGAGCAGCTGCTGGATCTGGTCCCCTGGCTGGCGGTCAGCCTGTCTACCTCGCTCGAGGGCAGCCTCTCTTCCTCGATGCTGGGCGCGCCGGCGGCGGCGGCGGCGGCCCCCACCCATGGCGATGGCGCTGATGGCCCGACGGCAGCCGGCGACATGCCGGCTCCTGGACAGCAGGTGCTGGACACCTTCACCGGACAGAGCATGCTCGCGGCTGCCTGCCGGCAGGTGGTCGACCGGTTCCCGGCGCCGCCGCCGCTGCCACCGGTCCCGGCGCCGCTAGGCCCCTCCGACCCGGCGGGATTCTCCCCGGACCCGGGCATGCTGGCGCTGCTGGCCGATGGGCGGACGCACTATCGCCGAGCGGTGGCGTGGATCTTGCACGCGGCCTTGGCCCCTCTCGGGGTCTCCCTGGCCGGGGTGGCCACACAGTTGGACCGGGCTCTGGAGGAGCGCCGGCCGGTCGGGCCCCCGCGTCGTCCCCGGGCCACGGTCCTCGGCTCGCTGGACAGCTATGCGCTGTCTCGCTTGCATTCCGCGATCCTGGGTGCGTCTGGCCCCCTGGCACATGCTGGCTCTTCTGTCCCCGCGCGCCCTCCGCCGCGCCCTTCCTCCGCCTGCCTTTATTTCGCTCTGCCCGCCGGCCGGCGACACTTACCCCCTGTGCCGCCCCTTTGTCCATGCGCATCCTCGATGGCTCTTCTCCACTCCCCCCCCCCTCTCTCTCTCTCTCTCCCCCTGTGTGTGCATCTGACCCTGGTCCGTAGAAAAGCTGGAAATCATCCAGCTGAAGTCTGCCCTGGTGGGCGTCAAGCAGGTCGGCGTCAAGGATCTTGAGATCCTGGAACAAATCGGCGAAGGTGCGTCGGTCCCCCCGGGGCGTTCCCCCCCCCCCCCCTCGCCTGCCCGTCAGGAGGAATTCGAATTGCTGACACCCCCCTCCCCCCTCCGCCTTCGAAATAGGGTCCTTCTGCAAGGTGTTCCTCGGGGTGTACAAGCAGCGTGCCAACATCGCCGTCAAGCAGGTGGCCGTGGTGGAGTCCTTCTTCCGGGCCGACACGCGGGATGAGCCACCCAAGTGCCCCGGACTGCTGAGCCTCAGCGGGGATACGTGCCTCGGCGTGCCGGATGGTGGCAGCCCCGGCGGTGTGGTGGCCCCCTCGGCCGGCGATGCCTTCCCCTGGCCGGCGCACTTCCGGGCGGTCGGCATCGCGGCGGCCGAGGCGCTGGACGCCCGGCTGGCCCGGCACCGTGCCCAGGCCGGCCGTGGCCCGGCCCTCCTGGCAGCCGAGGGGTTCTCCCCCCCGCACCACCAGCATCCGCCGCAATGGCAGCAGCTCCATCACCACCCCCACCAGCAGCAGCAGCATCATCACCATCATCACCATCACGCCGGGCATGAGGAGCAAAGCTGGGTCCTGGTCCCGGCCCCAGGGGCCGCGCTGCTGGCGGCCCTCCGGCCGCGGGACTTCCCCCACCTGTCGGCGGCCCCGGTGGATGTACTGTTCGGGCCGGCGGCCGACCTGGCCACGGGCGCCCCCGGCGGGTCGGGCCGGTGTGCGCGCCTGCCCGACCCGTCGACCGGGCGCCTGCTGGCGGCGGTGCTGCCCCCGGCGCGGGCCCTGCGCCCGGAGTCCGAAGTCCTGCGTCTGTGTCGCGAGGCGCGCATCCTCAGCCAGCTCTCGCACCCGAATATCATCCGCTTCCTCGGGGTCCATGTGAAGCCGCACCCGGTGGTCCTGTCCTCTCAGTCAACGCTGGACAATTACCACCGGTTCGGTGGGTCCGGCAAGATGGGCGCCGTCATGGAGGCGCACCACCACCACCACCATGACTCGTGGCACCACGATCCGTACTCCCTGCACAGTCCGTCCGACAGCCTGCTGGACCTGCCGCTGTGCGTTCCGTCTCCCTCGCTCGCGCGCGCGCGCCCTCCCTCCCTCTCTCCCCCTCTCCCCCTCTCTGACTCGCTTCATCCCACCGTGCCCCTGCCTCCCTCCGCTGGTCTGCCTGCGCCATTTATTTCTCGGTGCCCACGCTGACGCCCTGGGCCTCCTGTGTGTGTGTGTGTGTGTGTGTGTTCAACCCTTTTCGCCCTCCTCTCCCCCCCCCCCTCCTTCCGCCCCCCGGCCCCGTTTGCCCCTCCCGCTCGGTGCATTGGCCATGCGCGCAGCATCGGCTCTACCTATTCCTTTGATTCCACGGCATCCGGGTCTGGTCCTGGCCCGGCCGCTGGGCCGGTCGACATGGCCGGCTCCTCGGAGGGGGCCCAGCCCAACATGTCGGCCCATCACGCCGGCACTGCCGGCCCCACTCCTCCTCAAATCGTGGTCTACTCGTCGGACGGCGGGGTAACTGGCGGCTTGCTGCCGGCCACCTCGCGGCACTTCTTCATCTTGACCGAGTTCGCCGATGGCGGGTCCCTGCATCAGGCCATTCACAGCTCCAAGGCTCGGCTTCCCCTGTGGGTGAAGCTGAAGCTGGCCCTGGACGTGGCGCGCGGCATGGAGTACCTGCACACCCGGCCAAATCCGGTCATCCACCGAGATCTCAACCCGCAAAATGTGCTGCTTGTGTTCGGCCGGCCGGGGGCCGGGCGCGCGCGGGCCGACCCGAATGCCGCCGGGTCCCTCGCGGCCGCTGCGGCCGCTGCCACCCCATCCACTGCCAGCCAGCTGCCCAGCCGCAGTGCGCACAGTCGAACCCTCAGCACCGGCCTGCTCGGTGGCCAGGAGGGCCCCGGCGGCCTGGGCGGTCTGGGCCCGGCCTTCCCTTCGGGCACGCCCTTGTCGTCGGTGTCCGAGGTGCCCGGATCGCCGCCCGGGTCGCCGCGAGCCGCCACGCCCCCCGAAGCGCCCCCCGGGCCGCCGTCCCTGGATGAGTGGGACCGTAACAGCATCGTCCTCCGGGCCGTGGTGGCGGATTTCGGCGAGTCGCAGCTCCTGCTGGAGGGTGATGTGGACCCGGGCGCCTCCGGGTCTCGGCCTGCCTTCCGCCAGGGGCCCGCCACCGGGCCGCACTTCCGCGACATGACCAAGCAGCCAGGGGTGCGTGTCTCGCACGCGCGCGCACACGCACACGCACACGCACACGCACACGCACACACATACATACATACATACATACATACATGTATATGTTCTCCCCCACACACAGCCCGCTGTGCCTACATCCGTGTGTCACTCACCCACTCTCACGCCCTGCAGAACCTTCGCTACATGGCTCCGGAGGTCTTTCTCCAGGCGGACTATTCCACCAGTGCTGACGTCTACTCTTTCGGCCTTTGTTTGTGGGAGCTTTTGGCCGAGGCGACTCCGTTCGCCGGCCAGCCGCCAGGTGCGTCTGCGCAACTTGCATGGCCCTGTCCCTGCCCTGCCCCCCCCCCCCCCCCCCCCTGCTCTCTCTGCCCCTCCTGCTAGGGGTTCTGTCTCCATGTGTGTATCCTGCTTTGATGCCGCTGACCAGTCTCTCCTCGGGTGCCTTTCCCCCATGCCCGGTCGTCTACCATGCTTCTCCTCGCCTTTCCCCTCCTACCTACCCCATCCTTGGTGCAGCCTATGTCGCCTTCCACATGGCCAACCATGACTTCCGACCGGCCCTACCCAGCGACCGGGCCACCCTTCACGTGCCGGCCATGATGCCGGCCACGTCGGATTATGTGCAGGCCCCGGCGCCGACATACCTAACCAGCGCCGACTCCCAAGGGTCTCCCTGGCCACCGGGGGTGGTTTCCCTGATTCGCGAATGCTGGAGTGCGTCGCCTGCGCGGAGGCCCAGCTTCTCCACCATTGTCACCCAGCTGGGGGACATCCTCAACCAGGTGGCCCGGTCGACGACGGCCGTGGCACCTTTCTTCTCGGCCGAGCCGCCGGCGGCCATCAACGGCCCGGTCAGTCCTGAACCCCATCATCCCCACTCGATGTTGCATCCTGGCCGTGGGGCGATTCCCCCGCTGCCCGGGGGCGCCGGCCCCTTCCACCGGCCGGTTCCCTCCGCCAAGTACATTGACTGAGAGAAGCCGTCCTTCTCGCGGGCGATGAGATGCTGACGAGGAGGGCGCGCGTGTACTCCCCCGTTCTCCCCCCCCCCCTTCCGCCTGTCTCTCTCTCCCTCTCTCTCGCCCCCCCCCTCCCTCCCTTCCTCCCCCGTCTCCTCCTATCCATCCTTCAGTTCCGGGCCGATCCTGTCCCACATCCCCTCTCTCCCTCCTCATCCTCGTTCATGCCACGCACACACAGAGCACACAATTTTGCCTGCCCGCCCTCCCCTTCCCATGTCATTCTCTGTCAGCGGCGCCCGCCGCGCACTGTATATTCCCCTTGCCTTGTGCCCTCGCCCCTCTCTCCCCCCCCCCGCCCCCCTCTCCTGGGGCACATTCTCTCCTCTTGCGCCAACGCGTGAAGCAGATAATAGAACACAAGTAGGCGCGTTTGGTCGTCTGCATTCCCCCCTGATTCTCCCCCTTCATCCCCTCTACTCCAGCCGAAGGGGTGTACATACACACGCGCGCACACAAGCGCGTGTGATCTTGGAGCAAAAAGAGGCGCCATTTTCGGGGGACATGTTTTGTATTTGCTTTTGTCATGATTTTTGCTCCTTTTTTTCCCGGACACCTCTCGCGCAAGGGGCGCAGCGCATGAAGTGCGTGTGGTGCCGTGTATGTGTGCATGTGGTGCGTGCTTATGACTGATGGCGCGCGCGCACGCACAAATACAGAGCGCGATCCTGGATGGCCACATCTCACTCCATGCACACGATGCCGTGCGCGCGCGTATGGGACCTGACATGGCAGCTCACGCCTTGGGTGAGGGAAGGGAAGGGGGGGGGGGGCTGCCAGATGCTGGCAGCACACAACCCCCCCGCATGCGCACATTCACCTCGCCCTGCTCGTGAAGACCAGACTAGCCAGGCATAGGAGAGACCTCGCCTGGCTCAGGCCAGAGACACAAGGATACCAGCGGCGCAGGCAACCGCGGCCACGGCGCCCGAGCCCCAGGATGACCGGGCAAACGCCAAGACAGAGAAGGCATCGGAGGAGGAGCTCGAGGCCTCGATGGGACCGCCGTTCTGGAACCATCACGGGAAGGGGGGCATCAATGGGGAGGAACGACAGAGAGGGGGCATTAGCTTGGGCGTTCGGTGGCCAGGAAAAGAAAAAGAGGAAAGAGCCCCGCCATCGCAGAAGAAGGACACAATAATGCTGGCCAGTTGATGGGGGAGGATTTTCACGCACAGAGCCGTTGGAACCACCGTTGGAGCCACCGTTGGAGCCACCGTTGGAGCCACCGTTGGAGCCACCGTTGGAGCCACCGTTGGAGCCACCGTTGGAACCTTCCGGGGGGACGGCGCTCCCATTGCTACCAGATCCACTGGCGGGAGGAGTGCCACCATTGGACGACTCACCGCCGGGAGGGATGCCACCGTCGCTGGAGCTATCGGCCGGAGGCGGATTGGTGGGAGGAGGATCGGTAGGCGGGGGGTTGGTGGGGGGAGGATCGGTGGGCGGGGGGTTGGTGGGGGGAGGATCGGTGGGCGGGGGATTGGTGGGGGGAGGATCGGTGGGGGGAGGATTGG